CCTGCTCCCAGCGCCTTCCCCTTTCAGCCCGTTCCCCCTTCAACCTTTGCCTTGCCCTGCCGGCCCGTTCCCTGTTCCCTGTGCCAGCCGTTCCCTCTGCCGCCAGCCCTTTCCCGTCCCAGCGCTTCCCGCCCGCCGCCGTGCCCGCTCATGAATGTTCCCACAAGGCCGCGCCCGCTCCGCCCCCGCCGCTCCCCGCAGGATATTGCCGCAGGCACGAGTCCACCTCGCCCTCATCGGGTCCCACTTGCCCGTCGCCCCCGTCCTCCTCATCCACGAACTTGTTCTCGTCGTACTCGTCCACGTCCACCCGGCGAAAGCGCGCCGAGGACACCGTGTGCTTCGCCATGGCCGCGCCCGCCCCGCGCAGCCGCCCCGGCCCAGCCCCGCCCCGAGCGGCGCCGGCGCAGCGGCTGCCTTGTCACCGGATCCGGGAGCGCTGCGGTGCGGGGGACTTCAAACATCAACGCATCCATCCCCTGTCCGTGCCAGGGACACCTTCTRCTGTCCCAAGCTGCTCCGAGCCCCAGTGCCCAGCCTGGCCTTGGACACTGCCAGGGATCCAGRGGCAGCCACAGCTGCTCTGTGCCAGGCCCTCCCCMCCCTCACAGGGAAGGATCTATTCCCAATATCCTATCTAAACCTACTCTCTTTCAGTTTGCAGTWCCAYAGATTTACAGAATATTCTGAGTTGGAGGGGACCCACARGGATCATTGAGTTCAGTTCTTAAGTGAATGGCCTTCAGTTTTTGGTGTCATTGTCACCATGCTCTGACCAACTTGGAAGSCATTCCTGCTTGTCCTGTCAATCCATTCTTTGTAAACAGTGTTTCCCGGTGTTTCCTGTCACCTCCTTCAGGCACTGCCGTGTCACAGGTCACTCTGAAGCCTTTCTTCTCCAGGTGAACAATCCCAGGTGTCCCAGCCTTTCCTCCCAGCAGAGCTGCTCCATCCCTCTGCTCATCCTGGTGCCTCCTCTGAACTCTCTCCAGCAGCTCCAGCTCTTCCCTGTGCTGTTCCCCAGGTTGGGGCAGCTCTGCAGGTGGGGTCACACCTGAGCACAGGGACAGAATCCCCCCTCCCCTTCCCTGCTGCCCACACTGGGGCTCAGCCCAGCACAGGGGGGTTCAGGGCTGGGCTGTCACCCCCAGCACCCCCAGCTCCTGCTCCCAGGTCCAGCTGCTCATCCCCAGGCCAGATAGATCCTGGGGGTTGCCCCGATCCAGCACCTCGTTTTGTAAAACCTCATGAGATTCCCAGGAGCCACTTGGCAAGCTTGTCTGGATCCCTCTGTCCACCCCCAGGACAGCATCAGGCTGGGCAGGACCCTGTGTGGGGTCCAAGTGGGGCCAGAGCTGGTCCATCCCACTGTGCCCTGAGGGGCTGTGCAGGGAGCCCTGACTCCAACAGTGCTTGGTGACCCTGAGAGTTGAAAAATAGCCACAGCTTGATTATTATTAAGTTACACTTGGTCTCTGTAGGTAGTAATTATTCTGTTATTAATAGGAAATTACACAGATTTGTGAGGTTCCTCTTAATGAAAGACAACAGCCCTAGAAAAAAAAATAGACCTGCATGTACATATAGCTATATAAACCCCCCTAATTATTATACCCTATATAACCCCCCCATATTATTAAGAAAACAGCTGGAGGAGAATGTATTCCTGTGCCAGCCCTACCTGCAGAGGAGCCCTTTTTGACAGAGGAGGAATTTAGGATACTTCACATGTTCCACCAAAGCTGCCTCAGCTGGGGAGCTGCAATCCAGCTGTAACTGCGGTTGTAGCTTGGGCACTGCTGGCATTTTTCTGCTGGAAATTGGCTTAAGGGCAACGAAGTAATTGCAGGAGGTAAATGGACTGTCAGAGTCCCGGCATGGTTTGGGTTGGAAGGAACCTTAAAGGTCATGTAGTTCCAACTGCCTGCCATGGGCAGGGAATACTGAKGTTTGGGGGTTTACTGCTGTGGGTTTTAAGGTAGAGGATTAAAATAAAGATAGGTTCATAATCAGTTTTGGGAGCCACAGTTATTCCATGGGTTAAATTTGKCAGGAGGGGACTTTAATGGTGTTTTTTGCCACCTGTGATCTGTTTCCCATCGAAAAGCAAATGGATCTGTGCCATCTTCAGAGCATGTGTGTGCCACGGGGAAACACTTCAGAATGAGTTCTGCTGATTTATTCCTTTGGCATTTTTAAATGCCTTATGATATTTCTGAGTCTGGGGTATAACTGTTCCCTGTGAGAGGGCAGAAACACACCAGGGAAAGTCACCCTGGGACTCTGAGGTATCAGGGGGAGCAGACTGCTTTTGATGGCCAGGAAAGGCTTTGGGGAGGCTGGGCTGAGAGAGGAAAAGGCCTTTAAACTCTGCTGTCCAGCTGGGTTCCCCAGCRTTCCCTGGGGAAAGGCTCTCCTAAAATGTGTGTGCATTCCCATTTGATGTGGKTTTTGTGGACCTGCTGGCAGAGCTGGGTGACAAGGGGGTGAYCCCGTGATGCCACACACAAAGTGAYGGAGCAGGTGTGACCATGCCYCTCCCAGCAGCCTCTGCAGGGTCACCCGGGGCCAGAGGCTGCAGAGGTCCCACAGAGCCCTGGCAGGACCGTCCCACCRGGGACAGCGCTGGGAGAAGTGGATGCCAAGCGAGACATGGGGGTGTCTCAGCAGGAAGCGGAACATTTTCCTGGCACAGCAGTTGCAGGGTGAGAAGTTGGCGTAGAGGATGATGCAGCTGATGCTGGCGCTGGCGGCCGTGGCCGTGTCCAGGTAAGCGCCCGCCTCGAAGAGCACGGCCTCGGGGTGCTCGCCATGGGCGCTGCAGTTGGTGGCGTGGCCCTTCTGCAGCACTCTGCCCATGCAGCTCCTCAGCTCGTAGAAGACAAGGTGCCTGTTTTGGGGAGCATTGGGGGATCTGTGGGGGAGGCCAAAGACACTGTGGAATTCTGTGTACGGGACTCTGGCTTCTTCCCCTGTCCGTATGTGGTAGGGACACTTGGCACACCCGTGAGTCCGCCTCTGCCTGTGGCAGGGCTTGACCACAGTGCCCTGGTGTGTCAGGAATTCTTGGAAAACTCTTTCCTCTCCTGTGTTCATGTTCTATTGAAAAATCTGCCAGTTTATGTGCTATAGAGCTGACAGTCCTAGATGAAAAAGAAAAGTAGTATTTTAATTCAATCCTACAATTTGTTTTGCACTTCAACTACAAAAATAACARCAAGCAATCACTTCAAAAAGCTACTGAAGCTTGTAGCAGCATATGGAAACTTGGTTGATGACACAGAGAATAACATAGTTGAAGTATAGAGGCATTAGTCACAAATCAGCCTTTTGGGGAAAAAAAAAAAAGAGTAAAAATTTCTCTTTTATCCTAGAGGGGAGAATCTGCACCATAGAAACAGCCACACTTGTCAGCATTCATTGCAGGTGATTCCATTATTCAATCTGGCAAAACAAACATGCAAACACCACCAAAAAAAGKAACTGAAAAGGTGTAATTACCATGTCAGCAGCTCCAGCTCAGGGTAATGGTAAATATTTATCTGATTTCCTTCACTGGCATTTTTTGGTTTTAGGGCTCTTGAAATCTTTCTTTGCAAATCCAGTGGTGCAGAAGAYGGTTCCTCTCACCTCCCTGGTCTGGGCAGTTCAGTGCAGAAGGATCTTTGCCAGGGCAGGGGCTTGGCCCCAGTTGTGATGGTGACAGCAGGCAGGTAGTTCCCTTTAGGTGTTTCCRGGTGCCAGGTGCTGGGAGACAGGAACACAAACAGGATTTGCCTTTGTGGGGCCAGGCACCATTGGGAGCTGAGCTGCTGTTCTGTGCCTGTCAATATCTTTATCATATCTGAAGCGACGCCGTTCCCCTCTTTTTTAGTCGAGTTTTGCTACAAGATTTTTATAGCTGAAATCTGGGTATTCTATTGAATGTTGATACATATGGTCTATATCAAAGTGACAAGGTGCTTATTGAGGCCTATTAAGTGAAAACTTTCTATAGCCCTGTTTATACATTATCAGTATAAGAATGTAATAACTTTTTACATATTATTAAAATACAATGCAATCACTTTCAATATATTATCAATGATAGCCTTTTTATATATTGCTATAAGTTTTTTAATAGTGTATTAGCAACTTATAGTATACCAGCTGCACATAATCTAACCAGTTAGATTGGTACATAGATACGTGAAATCACCACGGGGCATAAATCAGAAAAAGTTCTSAAGAAAGTAGACAGGTAGATGCTGTAACAAGGAACGGTAGTGAGCATTAATGAAAACTTGGCAAAAGCATGAGTCAGCAAAATAATTACAATTATTACAACTTAGAGGACTAGAAAAAACCCATGGACATCACAACTGCGCATGCACTGTAGGCAAAGGTGAAAAGTCCACCATGATGAAGAGGATGGTATCTCATTAGAGGGAGACCCCCGCAACCACCGAATTGAGGATGACACATGAGCATTTGTAAAACTGTAATATCATGTATTTCCATGCCCATGTATAGTGATGAGTGTATGGTGGGCGTATGGGGGGCAGTGACAATGTTCATGTTACACCGTGCTCACTGTATAAATATGTGTGAATTTGAAGCAAGGGCAGGTGGGTTAGGAGGAGAAATGCCCCTCACCTCCAGCACTGCAATAAACAAATACCTGCTCTATAGACAGCAGTCTCTGAGGTTTTATTTCTAAGCCTTTTTCTGGCAGCAATGTCCAGCTGAGTTTCTCTCCAAACAATCTGTGGGTTCATTTGCCTGATGTGCCAGCTGGACAGAAAACACATGTTGTACTTCTGTGCCAAGGTTTTCCCTCCCTTAGGAATTTTGTGTCGCCCTCCCTGAGGCTGTAGCTCCAGGGGCATTCCGAGAGTAAGCTCAATCATGCTTAGTATGGCCAGGGGGCCAGAGTAGAGAGCAAACACAATTTTGTGTGGATCAACAGCTTTTGGCTTAAGCAGAGATTTATTTGTCTTTGCTGCTGCTCTCATTGCCCCTCGTTCCTGGATCCCCTTTGTCTTGCTGTTCCACTGTAAAGCTTTGTCATCTGCATATTTTATCACAGCTCACTTCTRCATTCCATCCTGCTTTGCCCTCTGTCAGTATTTCATTTTTCCCTTAAATTCCTAAATTCATTAATTTGCTTTGCTTTCCGCTCCTCATTCTGCACCAACTTCCATGTATTTTCCTGTGCTGGAGTTCCTTCCTGATCCAGGCCATTGTGCTGTTTTCGTTCAAATTGCTCCTAAAAATCGGCTTTCCTGACTTTAGGAACGTTCCATTTGTCATTTCTGGTGTTTCTGTACGTGTCGGGTGGTCAGTTGTGTGTGTTTTGCTCTGTGCCAGGTAAATGGAAACGCCTTTGCTCCCTGGCAGAAAGGAGGGCAGCTCTAAGGAAAGGGGTGTTTTTCTTTGGTGAGGGATGTCAGGAGAGGGTGTCACCGCCTCGCCAGCTCCCCTCTAGGCTGCCAGGGCTAAAGACACTCGAAAAAGCTTCAAAGCTGGCGTCAAGTTGCGGTTCCTCGTGTCCCCGCTGGTGTTCGTGCAGAGCTGGGATGGCCACATGATGGCAATGTGGCACCTCAGGGAGCTGTCCCGCTTTCCGCGGCATGGAGCCGATTGCCTCTCAGGCTACCTTACAGTGTCTAAAGATTTTCCACTGGAAATTTTACATCTCCCCCT